GATAAAAGAGAGACTTTTTGTGATTTGTTGAATAATTAAAATGAATGGATAATAATAGAATTAAAATTAAAAAAATATTTTTTTATTTTAAAAATTAAAAAGAATAATTAATTTAAAATAAATTCAAATTTAAAAAAATTATTATTTTAAGACAAATGGACTAAATACAATAGCATTTTATATTATTTATTTATTATTTTTTCTCTTATAATTAAAACAAAAGAAGAAAAATTTATCTCCTAATTCGGCCAAAATATTCCTTAGTTAATGCTTAAGATAAAAGTTTATATTATATATATAATAAGAATAGGGCAAAATGAATAGTTCAACCACAAACATATACTTTCATTAAAGGGCTGTTAAGATGTGAACACAATTATATTTAGAATTATTGTAAATATTTTATACTTTAGAATATTCTCTTTGTATACTTTATACCTTTGAATATTCTCTTTGTAAACACTATATATAGGTTATTGTACATATAGTATGATTTAAGAAAGTAATAAACCTTTTTTCAAATTATTCTTCTTTTCTGTTTTCTAACATAGTTGATTCCAAACTCCTATGTAAAACCCTTGGTAACCAAGCATGCCTTATAACGCTCCACAAAACCATCAGATCGTGTTTTAATCTTGTACATCCATTTACAGCCTATTAGAGATTTTTTAGTAAGGAGATCAACTAAATCACATCTACGAGTGTTCTCAAGAGCTTGTAATTCATCTTGCATAGCTTGTTGCCAAAGAGGGTTAGAAGAGGCCTCTTAATAGGATTGAGGCTCATGTAACGAAGTAATAGTAGAAAAATAATGATAATCACGAAGGTAGTTGGGAGGGTTTCTTACCCGAGTAGGATGACTTGAGGATGGGACAACAAACTCATTTGTAGAATCAACAAGTGATACAGATGAGGAAGTAAAAGAAGGCTCAAAATTATCTAATACATTACCAGCAGGTCTCCTTACCAAGACTCATTTTTTTGGACGCTTTCGTACTCTTCTTTCCAAACTCAAATTGGTTTCATTACAACCACCTTGAGTTTGAGGGGATATTAAGATGTAAACACAATTATATTTAGAATTATTGTAAATATTTTATATTTTAGAATATTCTCTTTATATACTTTATTCTATATATTTTATACTTTAGAATATTATCTTTATATACTTTATACCATAGAATATCCCCTTTATAAACACTTATATATAGGTTATTGTACATATTGTATGATTTAAAAAAGCAATAAATTTTTCTTCAAATTTTTCTTCTTTTCTGTTTTCTAACAAGGGCAAATGGCATTTAGAATTCGAGTCCTCATCACATTGTCTGTATTGTTTGCTTTTCTTACACTATGTTCTACTCGAAACACCATCACATCACCCTCAGGCACGTATAT